GAATTTTATTAAGTGGACCTTAAAGGTCACTTTCAGATTTTAAAAATAGATTCTGTTTATCAAAACTTTATGTTTTTTATAAAAAAAAAATATTTTAAGAAAGATAAAGCTGGAGCAAAGATGTGGAGTCACTAAAGGTTACATAAGATCTTTTTACAATCACATCAATATGTATTTCGACAATAAAGTAATTTTTATAGCTTTGCCTCTGTACATCACCACAAGGGATTTCAAATCAAACAATCAAGATGTGGCTGAAGCGCAGACTTCAGTTTTTCTGTCAGCAGCTTTTATAAAAGTATTTTTATAACTGTTAGAATTACAGACATTTTATACAGAGTCCATGTTCAGAAGTTCAAAACCATTTAGACAACTAACTGATCTGCAGTTTTATTGCCAGATGAAGCATTTTTTCCAGTTATGCCATGTCAAACTAAGAAGATGAAAGCTGTTGATTCAAAATATTGAACTCTTATGTGGTATGCATTCACTGTAACTCTCATTGTGAGGTTCAATTAGATGTCCATGCAAGTGGAAAAGACTGTTTAATAAATGCAAATACACCACTGATTACACTCAAGAACAAGAAACCCAGATTAAACCATATCTATGTATATAATAGGTGGATGGAATGGTTCCTATATAGTGCTTTCTACTCGAGCACACAAGAACATCTCATTCACACATTTATACAAGAGCTTTCTATCTGGCACTCCCACTCACTCATGAACACATCGGGATCAACTCAGTGTTCAGTACCTTGCCCAAGGATACTTTGGCATGCAGAATGAAGCAGTCAGGGATCAAACCACAAGCCTTTAACCTCTGCTCTACCTCCTGAGCCACAGCCATAGGAAGTGTGGAGAAGGAAAGAAAATAATCTGAAATATAACACATCATCTGTAAAACATGAGGCAGGCAAGGTTATAACATGGACATGTATGCAGCTGCCAGTAGAATTTGATAACTTGCTGTTTGCTGATGATGTGATAGCTGTACTCTCTGCTGAGATTCAGCCAAATGCTGTAAACTGATCAGATGGCACTTCACAGTAAAAATGGATGATGAGCCAAAGAAAACTGCAACATCACCCAAGACTCAACCCAGGTGAACAGCTTTTCTTGAACACAAAACTAGATGCAGGGACCCACAAACAAGCAGCACCTGAAGATGGCTGCAGTAAAGGCCTAGCAGAGTATCTCAGAGGAAACACAGTATTTGGTTAGTTTGTCCAGATAATGTTGAGCCTCTAAAAAGGGGATTATGGGGATACATATAAAAATGGCAACAATTAATAAAATAAAATGTTAACACAATACTTTTGTTAATACCCTCGAATCAAAGCTGAAAGTCTGCACTTCAGTCACACTTTGATTCTTTGATTTAAAATCGACTGTGTTGGTCTACAGCGGCAAACCAAACAACAATTGTCTCACTATCCAAAAACCTATGAACCCAACTGCACTGTGTTGTCTTTCCTTTGCTCTATTAGTAGAAAATTATGAGAGATAACTGATTTCATGTAG